GCCCCGTGTAAGAACCCCCATGACTACGAAAAACTGGCTTCCTCCTGAGGAAGGCACTTTATAGGAGACGTATTGAAAATAAGTCATGCGAGAAGGCATTAGTTATGCGTAATTTGTCAATTTACTTCCGTTTATTCTTTTATTTTCTGTGATTTTTCAGAGAAAAGCCCGTCCAGTTGCGTCAACTCGATTTGAATCAACCGCAAGAGCAGACGGTCAATTGGGAGGTGTTTGAGACTCAAAAGTGCGTCCAAATTTTCGTATATTTTTCATTGAATGCCCCTATTGGTAGTTTATCAGAGCTTAAAGGTTGAATGAAGTCATATTACACGACCAATTGACCTCAGCATGATTCCGTGTGTATGGTAGGCTAGTCCGGAAGCGAAGTGATTGAGCCGAAGCGAATTGCAGGGAAAGCAAAAGCTCAGGCTTCTCGCTTCCCCCATTTATCGACCCTATTTCTTTCTATGGGAAAGTTATCGGCATTTGCCTGCCATCAGACTCGCCCCTAGGTTTCTCATGCTTTCGCCAGGCCTCTGGTCTGTCGGTAGAACCCGCACACTGCTGAGAATTAGCTGAGGAGGCGAAGGGGCTCTGTCATAGGTATTTTGACGACTTCTTCAGCTTCTTCTTTGTGCTGAGCCATTTAGCAACCACGGCTTCATATACTTTCCACTATATAAATACTTTTTGTGAAACGCGGCTCTAATGGTGGATATATCGATTGTTTCTGATGAGGGTATCGAGTGATTGACTCGATCAGTGGAGGTGGTTATGTGGTGTATCGCTTGGTCGCTCATACACCACAAATGGAACGAGGTTCTCCAATTTGAGCACTGGAGCGTTTGCTCTTTTCGCAAGCACCCTTTCCATATCCGTTGTTTGACTTATATTCAGCCATGGTTTTAGGACAAGCAGGCATCGGCAGCGTCATTGGTGGGTGGTGGTTTGGACCCACCTCCTACTCCACTGAGAGCTGTGACCAAACTCTCGTTCACCAATGACTCTGCCAACGTCTCTACACCCGAAATCCATCGCTGAAAGTGCTCTTAAATTCAAGGATTCCTTGATAGGCTCACAGGGTTTCCGACTTGGGGAACGTTTTATGAGTATCAAGAGAACGATTGCAGACATATTTGATGAAAGGTGGGTTGAGGTATTGATTTCAAGGGAGAGACTCAAGCTAGGCAGTAGTTTCCCTTTGTTAATTTGGAAGTGTTGCTTTTTTGTGTTGCCTGCCCTTTGTAGTAGTTTTTGGAGAGTATGTTGGCACAAAGTAGTGAGGTTTTCGGGACGAGACTTGCTTTTTACTAGTGAACCTTCAGGAAGCAGATTCAAGAAGCTCTCAACGCACAGACCTATCACCAGTTTAGCGCTTACGCTCAGCAGCAATTCCCGGGACAACCTGAGCAGGTATGATAGCGTTTCTTTGATTAAATAAAAGTATCTGATGGGGGCAATGCGGCAACGGGGGGGGAGGATTCTCCACTCGTTGCTTCCCATTGTCATGTTCCTTGATTTCAAGAGTTGACAGGTATTCTACAAGAGTTTACAAGTACTATATAGAAACTTTGACACTTTTTTCAATGAATTCACAAGACTTCACAAGTCTTTACTTGATGGCTTGACGCGACAATAGGAAACAGCAAAAGTGCAATATGCTTCCCCCCCCCGTTGAACAGCGCCAAATTAAAACATTGTGCTCGGAGTTCAGTGGAGGAAACAAAAATTAGGGTGGGAATAGTCAGTCAGTTTCTCGTCCTAGTCCTTCTTTCGTCTTTCGGCTCTTTTTGAAACCTCTGTTATTAGTCCACGCCTTCGATTTCCTTTTGGTTCAAGTAAATACATCCCTTCTGCTTTTCTCTTTGGGAACCTTCCACCGATCCAGGCACTCTCCTTTCTTCTTCAGCAAGGCTCTGCTCCCGTCGTTTTGACCGAGTGACCTAAAGAATCAGAAGCGTATTGAGGACAAACGTGAAACAGGACTAAGAACTCGTTTATTCGCATAAATAGTACACTGTCACCGCTTACAGTATACGTAGTTAACTCGCATAGTACAAATTCACAGATTATAGTATTCACAGTTATTTGGCTATAGTGTACCCATGTTTGAACCGAAATATCATTTTCAATTTAACAAAATGTGCAGCAAAACTCAGCAGAGTGTTATCCAATCCTTCACCTCTTGTTCGACTGCTCGAGAGATGCTCGTGTCAAAGATGTACATCACTAATTTCTGAAAAAATAGGGTATTCATTTGGACCAAGACGAGCAGAAGTAGGATAGGGGTTACCTTGCGTGGCTGATCATCAGGTTTAATTTCGCTGTCCGTTGAGGGGGAACGATGACGATTTGCTGACGTGACGAGGGCGGTATGCAAATTGCGTACTACGGTGTCGTCGACGTTTCGATTCCTAGACACGTCCACCTCACGTAACAGATGAATGTTTCGTAGCCATGCCAACGCCGAGACTCCTTTGCTAAACGTGACAGCGTAACTTGAGCAAAGCATTTCTACTCGCTGAGAATTTACTACTGATACATACATTCTGATAAGATTTTCAAAAATTATACGATTTCTTTTGTTCTGTTCTCATAGGCTGGCGTCAGGAAATTTCCTACATGTTCTTCAATTCCTTTTGCAATTGTATGGTAGTATATCTGCGAAACCATGGTTCAAACTGGTTTTCGAATACAGTATCCTACCAGATTTAGCAAAGCCCATGGAAATTTGAGTGGCACTTTAGGTATTTGATCGAGTTCGAAACGGTTGGAATGAGCAGGGCATGCCATCGCGTTGTGATCATTTCCTGAAGAAAACGACCCCCCCCCTAATTCCATCCTCAAATACGACCCCCTCCCCATGCTACCTCCACTTTCCTAGATTTTTAGATAGATCATTTTCAACTGTCGGAAATAGTAGTTGTATAGATCTTCGGCAGTCCCTCTCCCAACAACGCCAAATACGACCCCCCCCCCATAGCGTCCGTGAAAAAGAGAAATCAACCATCCAAAAAGGATTTTTATGTGGCCCAAATACGACCAGGCCCCTCCGTCGCGGTCAAATACGACCCCCCCCCCCTATTGTGATCACCACAACGATGGCGTGCCCTGAGTATGAGACTTTCGATTTTCATGGAAATCTGTCCCTAGGACGCCTATAGCAAGTGTGCCAAGCGTTTTCGCGTCACATGACGGAGATTTTTTTTGTTCTGAGAATCGGGCCAGACTGATATGCTGGAATTTGCTTATGTGGAAGGGCGCCCTGGGGACAGTTTTTTTTACTAGGCTTTGCACCATTGCAAGCTTTCACCGCCCATAAATCGTTTGCGACTAGCGAGCTCTAATTTTAGTCTCCGTGTTTACAACCAGCGTTTCCAACCCTATCAAAGTAATTTGCTAACCACTCAAGTTTCTCGGGCAGGTTGGCACCACAGTTGGTTCCTTAACTTGGGAAATTTTTTGATTAAATTTTGGAGAATGGAAAATGATGATCCTGACCCCTTCCTATGGCATTTTTTACTGGCTTTCCCGAATTTACATTTTCATTTTGATTTTTTGTAGTCCTCATTAATTTCCCTTTCGTAGGTAAGGTAAAGTAGTAGTTTCAAAATGTGATATTGGTAGATTGCAAGAATAAGTGGGAAACGGGGCAATATCTTTATATAAAAATTATGTATTAGGTCGTGAAGAAAGTTCTTCCAGGTTCTGATATCACATTTCCAAATGCTGTTTGCAGTAGTATTCTTCCTGGAGTTGTCGAGTTCTACACTACTCCAGTAGCTCGCTCGATTCTATTTGGAGTGATTTTTCTAGTTCTGTGGACGGCTATTGGATGCTGAGAATGAACGGTCAATTGCGAGGAGAAGCCGCCTTAGGGCGCCACTGGAACTAAATTTTTCGAACAGGGCGTTTTTCTTAGAACCTCAACTCACGTCTGTGCCCAGGTCGAAGAAGCTCAGTAAGTGAGTGGCGCACGAGTTATGTCAGGACCAGAAGGAAAGTAGCTTCGAGCGAAGCAGAAACGACCCTTTTCTGCATCATATGTACTGGTGCGTGCGAGGAGAAATGTGTTCTTATATACGACAACGAGCGACGATCTGGTCAGTGATTGGGCAACACGGTTTCCTCAACATTTCTCCAAACTACCCTCAAAGAAGGTTTTGATGGCGGTCTGGTGACTAGCAGCTGGCCTAATCCACCACAGCTTTATGGATCCGTGCGACGCCATTATAGCTGAGAAGCACTATCAAAAAGTTGACAAAATGTGCCATAAACTTCAGCTCACAGGCCCGGCACTGGTCCGTAAGAAGGGATCGATTCTGCATTACGAAAGCATTCGGCCCCACGTCGCAGAACTTTCTCTTGAGAAATTGAGCGAGGTACTCTACGAAACTCTCCCGCATATATACAGTACCTACCATCCAACAATTACCAGTTCGTAAAACTGTCGACAGCGTCTTCAGAAAGAAAGTCTTCAAGGGCCAACGTGATGCTAGCGGCCTTGATCGATTTCATAGCCTCAAAATTTCCGAACTCTTATGCAAGTGGAATCTGAACAAACTTGTTTCTCGTTGGTAGAAATGTGTTGGTAGCCTTTGCCGTTGATCAATCCCTGGAGGCGGTACGCATTCTACTTCCAGTGAGAAGTGTAGCTGCTTGCTGAATGCGATATGACCTATGCAACGGATTGCGGGGATCAGCGATGTGCAAGTTGGTGTTTTCATTTTCCTAGACGAATAGGGTGCCGATTCACCGTTCCTGGAGGGCAGAGGCGTTGGTTGGCCCTGGCGAGAGCCGATCCAGGATTTGACTCCTGGATTTCGGCCGTTGGTAAGCGCACTTATGGCACTACTTTACCTCCGCCTACATATATGTCATCCCTGAATAACACTAATGGAACAGTACAGCGCGAAATGACCAGAAATATCCATTTAGTTATTATATATGACCACCAAACATCAGGTCTTTTCGTTCCTAGTCCGAACTCACTCGCTAACCTACCTGGTAATCGATAGGCACTCCTGAATTGAAATGTATTCTAGTTCCCGTTGTGTTGACGCCAGCGTGTACATCATCTCATCGGTAACTCGGGCACATTTATTGACTGTGAGCTGGAATTGTTTTTTCTACTTTCACCATGAAAATTTCTATATCTCTGCGCTCATTCATAAAGACCATTTTTCCTTAGTGGGCACCTTTTCTACTTAATTTTCAGCCCGTAAGGCAGCATATGACGTCGGTGGAGGGATGGGTTAATGGGCAAATGTGGTCGTAGAGAAGTCATGGTTACATCTATTTTAGAGAGAATGTGATAGTCAGCCCATAGCGGTTTACCTTGGTAACCGTGCATTGAGCTCTTATCTTGCTACAAATAAGGCGCTCTCGTGGGAACCATGACCAATGGCCGGGTATTTCTGTCATTCCCATAGTGAAGAAAAGGATGTCACGCCACGATTTCAGAATGTCATGCGATATTTTGTGAATTAAAGTACACTACACAAATATCGAGTTCGCTCCAGAAAAAATGATCAGAGACGGGGGCGTGAAGAAAAAGTGCAGTGGACATCTCATTTAACATAGTTCTGGTTTTTCTCAAGTCCGAAAATGAGGTTGCGAGCTTTGCAGTGACAGATTGAAGTTCTCAATTGCAAATCAACTAAAGGTCTGTCCTGCTCATTAGATCTGTCAGCTGCACACTCAAAACATACCTCTTTCAACTGACATCGCATCAGTGCAATGTTCACTCCACGAGATGAAAGGTTGAAACAGTTTGAAAGCACGAGTCGTTTGAAGATTTCCATGTGAACAGAGGGCGAGTATGTCTTCATTGGCAAGTTGCATAGTGTTCCGAATTTCAAGAGATTGTAATCGTCCACAACTGCCAAGGGCTGTATAGTCGAATACGTTCTTGCAATTGACCAGTGCAAGTCGCTCCAAGTTCTGCAGTCTCGACAAAATCTGTTGTAGAGACGTCTCGGTCAGACCAAACACATCCTAAATATTTGATCACTTCATTCTTTTAAACTTGTCACAATCAAAATCGGAATACGCCATACGTTGGAAATCCCCTGCGAGTAAGGGGGGGGGGGTTGTATCTGGTCACTTGAGGGAGGACATCGTACTTGTCTTAAAGAAAAATAAGTTTTTGGTTGTTATTTTCTCGGTTTATCCTGATTCGTGCGCGCCATCTCCCCGCTCCGCCCTCCCCTACCGCCCCGACCGACAGCAGTTTTTTTACTGGAGAAATTTGAAAAAAAGCATCGTAAGAGTGGTAGGAAGTTGGGAACATTCAGGGAGATGATAGGTAGAATGAGCGATGAAGCGGGGGGAGGCTCGTACGTGAGAAAGTTCTGGGAGACTCGGATTCTGCAAAATTTTCCCAACGCTGGGACGTGCTTTGCCCAAAAACACATCCTGGATAGTATTACAGTATGCTATCAGTATGACACCTGCAGAAGTTGTGCAGTGGCAAGTGGCGCCGCTTACTATTAAGAACGCAGGCTGGAGGTGTAATCCCGGCTTGACTGACCATGCCCTGACTTCTGAGAAGAGAGCTTAGTTATGGACAAAAGTCGATATGTGGGAGATGCGGGTTCGAGTCCCGTCTCGGGTCTGACTTCTGCCCATAACTCAGCACTCTTCGGAGCGTGCACTGCGGCTTAAACAGTTAATTCTTAGCTAAGTAACCTTGAAACATGCCCTGACTTCTATCCTGCGGACCTCTAATTTGATAGCAGATTCGTATGGGAGGATATACTCAATATCACCGCAATTGTCGGGTCGCAATCAGCGGTCTTCACCTGCGGCGTTTCCATCATTGGTTGTTTCCTTCCTAAATCGATCTTTACCCGATCGCCATTGGTAGAGCAAGGGAGCCGAACGCGGACTCGACCGCGCTGCTGACGCCGCCTCCAGCTATCCGCAATGATGAGGACTGTAAAAGCACTGACTTGTATATCGCTTGGTGATCCCGCGAGTCATTCTGAAGGTCACATCTCGTTTAATAAATCGCTGCAAATCTGAATGGGCTAGAACTCGTGCCAGAGAGAATGATCGTCGGCAAAAGCCTTGCCCTTCATCTTTATGATATCACGCTGAAAAACACCCCGTGTGTATAGCGAGCTAGGTTCGCGTACACTGGAACAGCTCAAATATCAGTGGTGGGATGGGATCAGTTCATTAGACACGTGGTGTGTATTGTTTTTGAGATTATTCTCCAGGAAGCAAAGGGGATCATAAGGAGGAACATTTGTGTTCCAGGGGCGCTAGAACAAGAAGAAGGCTCATTTTGCAGAATATGTTTTTCCAACGTTAAAACGGAAATTCCCGAGCCTTTTTTGTTTTTAAAATTCACTGAACAACACCCACTGGAGTGCAGTCAAAAGCAACAGCTGCTGATCGAGGGGCATTTCACTTGCTATTGTGACCAAAGCGCATTTGAAGGGTTTTAACTGCTGCTATTGCCACTCACATTCAATCTAAGTGACTCCAACTTGGTTAGGTTGCCTAGCTCGTCGAAGTGCAGGTCGGTGTTGTACGAATGGCCAAGAGAGAGATGTCGCAGATTATTCAGTGATCCGATAGCAGCGATTATCTCTTCATCAAGCACCGGCACGGGAGACGCATAGAACTCTTCAAGTTGATCATGGCTTTGCAAGAATTCCAGCATATTTTCTGGGGGGAATGAGTGGGCTCCTCCGATCTCCAGGTATCTGCAAAGTGCAGTGTTATCATACGATTGCATAGCGGCTAAGTGTTGTGAGAAGTACGCGTAATTGTACTAAAGAAATCCTCACCGAAGAGTTGTCGGTAATTCTGCCAGACGAGTAACTTGAAACATAGCCGAACGCAAGTTGAGCTTCCGCAGCTTCTTCATTGATTCGAAATAGTTTTGCACCTTAAAACTCACCTAACTGAGGGAAAAAGGCAAGTGAAGCTCTTACCAGGGAAGCCCGCCAACTTACCATGGAACTTTGAATGGAGACCTGGGTAGATCGATAGAGTCTATAAGGTTATTTACAAATATAGATAGCAAAACTGCAACCTGCACTTCATTATGAGCAGGTAAAGTTTGTAATGGTGCAGTAGGGTGGAGGCTTGGTGGTGAGCTGTGAAGCATAAGCGAGGAATCGCATACGTCGAATCGAGTCGTGGTGGTTCAGTGGTAAGGTTCGACGTTCGACTCGATTCGACGTACGATTCCTCGCTTATGCTTCACAGCTCACCACCAAGCCTCCACCCTACTGCACCATTACAAACTTTACCTGCTCATAAGTTGCTTGTGAAATGCAGGTTGCAGTTTTGCTATCTATATTTGTAAAAACCTTATAGACTCTATCGATCTACCCAGGTCTCCATTCAAAGTTCCATGGTAAGTTGGCGGCTTTCCCTGGTTAGGGAATATCGAATCACCTTCTCAGCACATTCAATGTTGACCCAGCTAGTTTCTTCGAGTGAAAATTCTTGCAATTGTGGCGCGATTTTTTCTAAGAGTGGACTCAGATCGGCGTTGAGAATCACTGCTCCGAGATCTACGACGCTCAGTCGTATGCAGTTGCTGCATTTTATACATAAGGGAAGCTCAATTCGGGTTTTCATAAAAGATTAATGAGGTCTTACTTGGCAATACAGTCGATTATTGGCTGCGAAATGCGCAACCATCGTTGACCGAAGGTGAGGTGTTGTACGTAAAGACCGCAGCGCTCGATTACTCCAACAACCGTCGGAAGAAAGCTGAGGCTGTCCTTAACCAGCGTTTGTCGATACCTCATAGGATTATACTAGTATGATAACTGCTATTTGGCGCCGCAGTTTGCGCTCCGAAAGTTATCGCAAGAATGCTGAGTTATGGGCAAAAGTCAGACCCCAGACGGGACTCGAACCCACACCTCCCGCTTACCGGGCTGTTAGAAAAGATGCAGGTTCGAATCCCGTCTGGGGCCTGACTTCTGCCCATAACTCAGCGCTCTTGTGATAACTCATAGGATTGTTACTGAAAGAAAAGTTAGTTGGATTACCTGCTGATAATAGTCTGTGGAGGTACTAATCAGAAATTGTGAAATATCCAAGTTAACACTGTCAGAAAAGGTGGATTGTTGCTAAAAAAGACTAGATTAAGTTGTTGTTTGTTAATCCGGCAGCGACTATCTGCTATCAAGGGGCACAACCCACCTGTAGAACATAGTGGAACATACGACATACGTGCTCCAGACGAACTCGTTCTATGAAATCGAGATTGAGGAATATTTGCGAGAGACAGTCCCTATTGAGCGTGTCCATGTACAGTAGGAACGCCCGATCTGAAGGAAGACAAAGCTTGGGTGTGGTAATCGTAAATGTTTGTCGACTGTCAAGTCCAGGAAGGGTGTCCGAGAATCTGGCAATATATGCTGAGATCTCCACAGTAACCCAAAGTGCTACTGTTTTCTGTTCGGCTCAAGAGGGGCATTTTGCACATTCGCTAGTTTCTTTTGTTAGTTAATGTTAACAGGTCTATTTGTGGTGGAACCTGTAAAATGTTGTAAAGTTGCGAAATGCTGCAAATGAGCCACCTTGGTTACAAGAATTTACAGGTGCACGCAGGGTGTCCCGTACAGGCTTCTCTGAGTACAATCAGTTGTCCCCACCAAATCGAACTGTGGCAGTAACATCTTCACAGTACTCGAAAGGCCTCAAAAGAAGACTAATGGTATAGTGACTGAGCATAATGCCCCGGAATTCATGCAAGGAAGCAGGCATAGTTATTCAGGAGTGGCGGCTTAGTACTGACTATGAGTAAATGAGAGTAAATGAAGCAGAACACATAACAGACAAGACATAACATGATGGAGGGGGGGGGTACAACATTGAGAACCTGGCGAGGAAATTACTAGCGATTGATATTGTCCATAAATATTTCTTTGCCGCGTAATTGATTTGAATTCCCGAGAGATATTCAGTTTGTGCAGAATAAAGCTGTTCCAATATACTAGAAAAAGGTCTTTTCAGCAATGAAATAACCATTTTTTTTGCTAGTGTCCGCTGAACCGTACCATCCAGAGCACATGCTTTGTTAGGGAAATTTTTGGAAATTTCGATCCTCCTCAATTTCCCTCCTCTGGTAGAGCCCCACTGCTTCCCACGCCCTACCTACGCTCTTTCTGAATTCTCCTTAGCTTTCCTCCAGTTTTCAGAAGAAGTTTCCACTGTTCCTCCTGAAAGTATCATCAAGTGTCTGAAGGGCGAGGAGGGGGGAAGGGTACATGGCGCACGTGATACGGGAAAAACTAGCAAAAAATAACCGAAAATATTTTTCACGCAAGTAATTTTTTACGAAGGTACGTAAGGCTCTCCTTCCCCCTAGCGACCAAATACGATCCCCTCGCTGGAATCCCAAGGTACGAGGTGCACTGGCACCACTGGAATCACCATCTCGGCTTAGACAAACAAGCTTCATCTAGTTATCGGACGTCTTGTCAAGTCTGTACGCTGGAATGCAGTAATGTAAAAGTCGATCTATGCATTACAAATGAGGTGGTTCTAGTTCTAGAGGTTTTATTGATGTTGTCCTATCACGGTTCCTCACCAGAATGGGTGCGATCTTGTCCCTTGAAACAGAGACATAAGTTCCATATTTTGTCGACTCCTCGATACAAAATTCCAAATGCTATCAGGACAGCGAACCCTGCACATTCGAAGGATGACAGCAGAAAGAAGTGGAATGGTTCTACTACAGTGAAAGCATTGCATATTTGCAGATTCCTGATGGAGCGGGATGAATGCTAGGAAGAAGGAGAAGATCACTTGTGTTGTACAGGGATCGGGTTCCGCGCAGAAGTTTATGAGAACAATATTTTGAGGGATTGATCAGGACCTCAAAATTCAAATTTGGATTCCATCAGTCAT